CAGGCCTCGCCGCTGCACGGCCCGACGTCTGCGCTCGCCATCTCAAGTACGGACGTGAGCATGTTTCTCCGCCTCTTGGATGGGCAGCTCCGCATGTCGGCGCAGCAGCTCGACGATGCGAAAGAAGAACGCAAGTTCAAGCGCCAGAAGCTCGAGTTTGAGCAGCGGCGATTCGACCAAGAGATGGCGTTCCGCGCCCAAGAGGCCCAGCGCCGGGACCAGCGCGACGCAGAGGATCGCGCGCAGCGCCGCGACGAGTTTCAGCTGCTCATGGATATTGTCAGGTCGACCTTACCCAAGCCATGAGCGCGTCGCGCCGAGTCATACGACGATGCTCCTCTTGTTTTGCGTACTACATCCTAATTCTACTCTCATGTGTCGAAACGCGCACGCGGCGAGTACAGTATGGTGCCAAGCATCGCACGCCGACGGGCTTGCACCAGCGCTTACGCCGTTGCGCTACGTCTGCGGGCTCTTCCGTTCGTTCATTTGGGGTCCTTGGATTGCAATCCTATTTCTACGAAAGCGTCGGGACGGCAGTAGTCTACTCAAGCCGCGTCGCTGGTCTGTCGAGTGCTGTTACTGCTGGTCACACTGGCTTCCCGTCGTACCCGACAGCCAAAGGTTGTGCAGTAGACGCGCGACGAGGGCGTAATGCTGACTCTTGTCGCACCCTTCATGTCCGGCTCCACCGCTCCACCATAAGCTATGGAAGCACTCGCGTGCGCCCCGACGCTTGCGTGGCTCTGCTGCATGAAGCGGAGGGCCGAGGTAAGGTCCGTAAAAGACCTGGCGCGCCGACGACTTTGGCAGCCCCGAACGTGAGGATGATGACGACGATGGACATGATGGACAGCCCAAAATTGCAGAGTGCGATTGAAATGGGTAGGAGGATGAGGATGCAGGTAGTACGGGGCGTCTTCATAAATAGGGCTGCGCCTTAGACCCATTCGTCCTTGGGCTCGGCCTTGAGAAGTTGGTACGAAAAGTTGTGTTGCTACAGAGGAGTACGAGGAAGAGGAGGTTGCGGCGACGCTGTCGTACCTCGGTGATGGCGAGGATCGTGTCGATGTTGATGAAGGGCTGCGTCGAGAGCGACGTCATGAACGCGTTCATGGCGCCTGTCGCTGTCGCAAACTCCATCGACGCCATCGTGATGGCCTAGTCCACATCGCATCGCAGGTACAGAGAGGAGGCGAGCGGTCGTACGATCTGCTGGTACTCGGACTCGTACATGTCGAGCTCGATCTTGATGAAGCGCAAGTACTGCATCGCCGAGACCTGCATGCCGGACGGCCCCGTATCGACCGCGTCCGACGTCGACATGGCCATGATGCGCTTCTGCGTCTCCTCGAGGATGTCGTACATGTCGAGGAGGAGATCCTGCACGTTGCGCGGGTACGCCTTGAGCGCGGCGAGCGTCCCTTCCGCGAGGTACCCGTCGATGGACCGGTTGCCGCCATACCCATGGAGGCCCAGCAGCTCCATGCCGTCGTCCTCGACCGTCGGCGGCTCCTCGACCTCCTTCGTCTTGCCGATCTGGCTCTGGAAGGCCGTGACGAGCCGAACGACCTTGTCATGCGCGGCCTGCCACTCCTTGCACTTGCCGCGGAACCGGAGGTATCCTTCCATCGCTTCCAATCTTTTTCGGATCTGACAGTCAGTTTACACAGTACTCTCGCGATTACTACCACTGCTGGGTTTCTCCCAGTATGTCCCAAAAGTGCGCGAAATGAGTGCGATGCCGCCTCCACGGCCGTAACGCAGCTTCTGCAGTCGCCGCAGTCCTTGCACGCGCGCCCTGCACAGCGTGCTATGCGCCAGCAGCAGAAAGCCTTTCCCTCAAGGCATCTAGTATGGTCAACTTGCTCGTCGCCCCAGGATCGGTCCATGTGGTGTCGCGTTACAGGCGTCTTCGCCGTCACTGGCAGTCGAGTAGCATTGCACTTGACCGCGAAACGTGGGGTGGCCAAGCGTCGCAAGCAGCCGCCGCCTACAGCAGTTGCCTCGTAGTATGCCATCGACAATCGAGAGGGACGAGCGGATGAAGGTTGAGAATTGATTGGCGCTCAAGCAAGCTTCTTGAAGGTTCAGTGCGCCTGCGGTCGATGAATTCAAGAAATTGAAATTTGGATGGCGAAGTGTCGTCGACAAGTGGCAAGTCGCAGGTTGACGTCAAGCCAGCAGATTTGGGATTAACCTACGTTTTACCCACTTTAGTCAGCGTGCCGTTGTTTTAGTCGTTTGTATAGTAGGTAGCCTGTCGACTACTATAGGATCGTATCCGGCAGGGTATTTTTATCCAATTCGCAAGACGATTTGTAGCAGACATGCCATTAAAATGCGCGGCCGTGTTGTGATTGGCGCGATTTGTCCGGATACCATCGCACCTTATAAGTGGTGGAGGGCAGAACGCAGCAGACCACCATTTGTACCGAGAGATGATGCTCCGCGTCCTTCGCCAGCCGCGCCAAGCGCGCTCCGTCGCCAAGTCCGCCGTGGCGTCCTTCTCGGACGACGCGACCAGCGGCAAGCGCGGCAAGGCCAAGCAGCGCCTCTTCCAGCAGGCCATGGAGAAGGCGCCCTTGAAGCCGCAGGTGCCCACGGACGCCGAGGAGTCGGAGCGCCTCTCTTTAGCGACAAGGAGCTTGACGCCGAGTACAGCAAGTACGAGACGGTCATGGACAACAAGAACGAGCCGGAGAGCGACTACACGCCGCTTAAGGGCCGCGTCGAGAACGAGCTCATCATGGCCGATAAGAGCTGGCCGCTCACGTCCGGTACGGACCTTTTCATGGACTTGATCCAGATCCCGGCGACGCCGTTTGATAACGAGAAGCGCGCTATTGTGAACGCCGAGGCCTTCAAGCGCATGGGCTACACCTCGATCTGGGACGTCCAGCTGCCCGAGATCGCGGTCGAAATCCCGGCCGACCACCCGGACTACGACGCGCTCATGATCATGAAGCAGTCGCTCATGAACAACGGCCGCATCAAGATGGACGACAAGAACGAAATCATGGAAATGCTCTTGGACGAAATCAACCGCCTGAGCGCAGACACAACCGAGTTGGTGCCTGGCATCGACCTAGAAGACGACTAAGAAATAGCAGCCCGTGTATGGAATACAAAGTACTAGACCCCGGTTCCACCCATGATTCGATCGTTCTTCGGCGTGCACAGAGCTCGATCCGTCACCTGCACAGGCATCGACTGTAGCACGGCGGGCCATGTCGATGGACAACCTCGCTCAACTGGTATGTAGTAAGTATATCGTAAGAACTTATAGTAGAGTACGTTGGCATCGCCCAGCGATGTACTCTTTGACAGAAGGAGCTAGCTAGCTATCTATTACAAGTGGCTACGAGTCGCCCAAGTTACATGGAGACGAGCTTGCTCGATCCATGTTAGGGGTTGCTGAGCCAGGTAGCTGCGCTGCTTCGTTATGTTTTCCATGCTGTCGAATTCAATCGATGGGCTTCTAGTCTTGCATCCTGACTCGCATCAATACCTCGTAGATGCCATGATGACTCCTGATCTTGACTTGGTGTATGCAGGACAAGAAGACGACAACATCCGAATCCTGCGCTTGCGATCTTCCAGCACCGATAATGTACGTCTTGATGTACGAGCCGTACATGGAATGTACGGCGGTGGACTAAATTCGGCATTGGATTCGCTTGGGGGCGCTTCCATTCAATTCCAGCGCTCGGATGCAGAACTGCTACTTCCCGACGCTCAAGCCCGTGGACCCGGCGACGGCGGCCAAGAGCCACGTCTCGCGCCCCGATGGCCGTGGCAATGACGAGTTCCGCGCGTGCTTCATGCGCTGCGGCGTGCTCAGCAAGGCAGCGGGCTCGGCGTACGTCGAGTTTGGCCGGACGCGCGTCGTCTGCGCCGTGTACGGCCCGCGCGCCGAAGTGGCCATCAAGCAGCGTGGCCAGCCCCTGGTTTGCGACATCAAGCTTCCGTCGAGCACGACGGTGCTGGACGCGTCCATGAACGACCTCGAGCTCGAGTACGGCAACCTCATGCGCCAAGCGCTCGCGCCGTCGCTCCTCCTCGAGAAGCTGCCCAAGTGTCAACTCAGTGTCCATGCTGTCGTGCTCGAAAGCGACGGCGGGGACCTCGGCGCCGCCATCACGTGCGCAAGCTTGGCGCTGGTCGACGCTGGCGTCGAGATGATCGACGTCGTCACGGCCTGCAGCGCGGGCCACACGGCCGATGCGACCGTCCTCCTCGACCCGACGACGAAAGAGACGGGCGGCCACGTCATGGTGGCGTTCATGCCGGCCCGCGGCCAGATCACGCACGTCATGCAGAAGGGCGGCATGACCTACCCCAAGGTGCAAGAAGCCATCGAGCTCTGCTCCGACGGTTGCGCCGGCGTCCTAAGCACGATGGTGCGCGCGTGCATTGTCGAGAGCCTGCGTCACGATAGCACCAACTAATATAGTACTACTACCCTTCTCATGAAACCATTTTATCTGTTTAATCAAGGGGCTTGGTCCTTCTCCGCGATGACAGCGCCGACGTTGCCATTACCGGTGACACAAGCGGCAGCTACCACTGACTCTCTCACTCCTGTAGTACGCGCCTGCCTCTCGGCTGCAAACAACTCCGGGCCCACACAAATGATGACATGGAGGCAGGCCACGCTTGAATGACTCGGATCACATTGAACGACTGAACGAGGCTTATGGCAGGTCACTCACTCATTCAGCCCAGGCAATGCAGGCATTTCATGTCATTGACAGGAGATCCGAGACACCACAGCCAGAGGCAGCTCTCGGAGGACTGTCTCTGCAAGCGACGACGGCGCGAGGACGGGACGGGAACGACAGGTAAAGTCAAAATTCGATCTGGAGTCTATTGTTCCAACATACATGCTCGCGAGACGCAGGAGGCTCGATCAAGTGTGTGTAAACATGATTTCTTGCTGCTGCTCTAGGCTTTTTCTACGAATTACTTGAAGTAAGTAATCTTACGGGTCTTCAACGGGGCCCATCGCATGCGCTTATAGTAGCCCGTGAAGAGGGCAGTGACAAAGAGGCCAAAGCACCACTGCATGCCCATCTTCTTGCGTTCGTCGTGCTCGGGCTCGGCGGCCCACGAGAGGAAGCACGCGACATCCTTGGCCATCTGCGAGACCGTGGCCGGCGTGCCGTCTTCGTACTCGACCTGGCCGTCGTTCAGCGGCTGGGCCATGGCAATCATGCCACCCGAGAAGTACGGGTTGTAGTGGAGGCCCGCGCCAACTTCGTTGCCTTCCGGCGCAGGCACGTAGCCCGTCATGAGCGAGAAGATATAGTCGGCGCCGGCGTGGCGGGCCTTGACCATGAGCGAAAGATCCGGCGGCACGGCGCCGTTGTTGGCAGCGGCGGCGGCCTCGTCGTTCGCGTACGGCTTCGGGAACGGGTCCGAGAGCTTACCGGGGCGGTCAAACATCTCGCCTTCGTCGTTCGGGCCGTCAACGACCTCAATGTCGGCCGCGAGCTTCTTCGCGTGGTCCTCCGTGTGGGTCACGCCGACAAGGTGGCGGAAGTGGATCTTATCGAGCGAGTGGCACGTCGAGCAGACCTCCTTGTACACCTGGTAGCCACGGCGCACGCTGGCATAGTCGAACGACGTGAGCGGGCCCTGGTGCTCAAAGCCGTAGTGCGGCGACGGGATGCAGTCGTCGCTGAACGAGGTGACGCCGGTCATGACGCTGGCGGCGACGAGCGACGCGCCGGCGGCCTTGGGCCCATGGGCGCGCAGCGACTGAGCAACACGTTGGAACATCCTGCCTTTTTCCAGAATAAATTTGCCGCGAGCCTCAACACCACTCAACCAGCCTTCCCGTTCGGGTCAAGTCTCTCAAACTTGATTATGTTTCCACTCGGGCTATGCATTCTCAGAGGTGCGCCGGCCCAGTGCCGTCGCATTTCCCATTATGCGTTTTGAGAGGTATGCAAAGCGAGAGGGCCGCAACGACCGGCCACGCTTTCCCTAGCCCTTCACTTCGGACGCAGTCAGTTTACGGCGTCGCAGCACCTCTATAAATTGATAGCGTCGAGCCCATTTCTATGTGAAGCGATGAAGTCCACCGATGCGTGGCGAAGGTACGCTGCCTGCGGGCATGGCCCAGCGCTGCCGCCACTGCAGACGACGACCACCACCGCCTCGCCGACGAGACGCTGGCTATCAGGAGCGACTGCATGGTGCTTCGCGTTGTAGCAAGAAGCCGGCGAAGCGAGGCGAAAGCGACACCATGGTGTCGAGTACTCGATACTTGATGCTCGGGCGGCCACGTCGAGCGACGCTCGGCGGTAGCACGGACGTGGCCGTGGTAGCCCTATTGCGCTACCTGCTCGGTGGCGCCATGAGGATGCGAACGGTGGTGGCAGCGTCCAGCATGGTGTAGCGGGCGATCGCGTCGCAGCAGGTTGCACCTTGGTTCAAGTGACGTGGTATCTCTTGAGTCGTATTCATCGGTGTCAAGACGCGCGCCTCTGTGGCCTTGGATCAAAGACAGGGCATCGACGGCGCCAAGCATGGTACAGCGACTGCGTAGATGGCAGCCTCGGCGGGCTGCCTCTGGGCCGGCCCACATGGTTGCTCTCGCCCGCGCCGGCGCTGCGCTGCGTCGTCCCGCAGCTCGCTCCACGTGGACTTCGCTTTGCATCGCCGTAAATTAATTAACGCGCCCCATCAATACAATACGCGCACCTACTTTATCCAAGTGCGAGAAAAAAGTACGTATTTAAAGAGGTATAAAAGTCGCCATCCGAGTCGGAGCCAGGCCAACCGATTGGCCATTGCAGCTTTCCGGCTTCGACCGTAGTTGACCTCAAGACGAGCCCGATGCTGCCGAGCCTTGCGCGTAAGCTGTCGACGGCCGCGGCGCAGCGGTCGTCGCGCCTCGTTGCGCTCCGCGAGCAGCTCGCCGAGGAAGCCATTGCGCTCAACGAGGCCAAGAAGAACAAGCTCGACGCGACGTGGGGTGACAATGTCATCAAGGCCGAGGACCTCGACTCGCTCATGGCCTCGCCCGACTCGGTCAAGCCGTCGCGCAAGCCCAACGCGAGCAACCGCAAGCCAAGCTGGCTCAAGGCGCAGCCGACGTCCGGCGACAACTACCTTCGTCTGCGTGACACGGTCCGGTCGCTCGGTCTTGCGACCGTCTGTGAAGAAGCGCGGTGCCCCAACATTGGCGAGTGCTGGGGCGGCGGCAAGAACGGTACCGCGACCGCCACGATCATGCTCATGGGCGACACGTGCACGCGCGGCTGCAGTTTCTGCGCCATCAAGACCAGCAAGCGCCCGCCGGCGCTCGACCTCGACGAGCCCGACAAGGTCTCGCGGGCCATCGCGTCCTGGGGCCTCGACTACGTTGTCTTACGAGCGTGGACCGCGACGACCTCCCGGACGCTGGCGCGCAGCACTTTGCCTCCACGGTACATATGCCGCGCTACAGCGCTTGTAGCTAATGAGATATGTAGGTGAGCTTGCTCCGCGAGCGCCTGCCCGAGATCCTCATCGAGTGCTTGACGCCCGACTTTTCCGGCCGCGTCGATCTCATCGAACAAGTCGCGCTTTCAGGCCTCGACGTCTTTGCCCACAACGTCGAGACGGTCGAGCGCATGCAGCGCCGCGTGCGGGACCATCGCGCCAACTACCGCCAGTCGCTGGCCGTCCTCGAGGCTGCCAAGAAGGTCAAGCCGACGCTCGTGACCAAGACGTCCATCATGCTCGGCGTCGGCGAGAAGCCTGCTGAGGTTCTCCAGACGCTCAAGGACCTGCGCTCGTCGGGCGTCGACGTCGTCACGTTCGGCCAGTACCTTCGCCCGTCGACGCGCCACATGCCTGTCGCCGAGTACATTAGCCCCGAAACATTTGAAGAGTGGCAAAAGGTCGGCGAGTCCATGGGCTTCCTCTACGTCGCGAGCGGCCCGATGGTCCGGTCGAGCTACAAGGCCGGCGAGTTTTCCTCACCAACCTCCTCCGCGACAAGAAGAAACAAGCCGCTCTGCAATAAACGATGCCTGTTATGATAGATGATGATGATATTGCACGGTTGAATGAACAAATTTTGTACCTTGAAGCGCTAGGAACATCAAAGCCGCCAACATGAGAGCCCGGCGGCGTGGGCACTCGTTCATAGGCGTATACCTGCTTGCCGACAGCTATTCATTTTGCCACTGTCTGGACTTGGTGGCTGAAAGAAACAGGCTTGCCTCGGCTCTGCGAAGCGTGCAGGTCTTGGTACTACAGCTGTGATGGGATAAGTGCACTGTGCTTCGGATAGCTGGGTCCAGGTAGGGTATGCTGCTTGCCAAAGGCTACGCACCCGATCGATGCTGCCCTCCATGTCCAAGTTGCGTGCTGTCGTACGTCGGGTGCTGGCGCAGCTCCTTTGCAACCGGCATTTTTCTCCAAGCCCATGAGCCGCTCGGTCGTCTCGTCGGTGCGGTGACGAACATGGACGAGGTGTGTAGGGTGTGGGGATTGAACCTCGTGACGCGCACATACTGCGATACTATCTATTCCGGGCAGTAGGAGCGGAGGCGGGAGATAATGAGGTCGAGGGCGACGGCGTTGACACCGACGGGCACGATGATGTCGGCAACACGCTTCGAGGGCTCGACGAACGTGAGGTGCATCGGCCGCACCGTCTTGAGGTACTGGTCAATGACGCTTTCGGCCGTGCGCCCACGCTCGGCAATGTCTCGTCGGAGGCGACGGATGAACCGAATGTCGGACGGTGTCTCGACAAACACCTTGATGTCCATGAGCGCGACAAGGTCCGGGTCCGTAAAGAGGAGGATGCCCTCGACGAGGATCACGCGGCGGGGCACCATGGTCTGCGTGTCGGCGCAGCGCGAGTGCGTCGCAAGGTCATACATGGGCACTTCGACCGTGACGCCGTCGCGAAGCGCTTCCAAGTGGCGCACCAAGAGCGACGTTTCGAGCGAATCCGGGTGGTCAAAGTTGTGCTACGCCATCGCTTGAGCACCTTGAGAAGAGGAGGATCATAGTGCCTACCTGGGCGCGCTGCTCGAGGGTCCGGTTCGAGATATCCCGGTAGTAGTAGTCGTGCGATAAATACGAGACGTTGGCCTCCCCAATCTCTTCAATGATCGCGCGCGACAACGTCGTCTTGCCCGAGCCCGTGCCGCCGCAGACGCCAATGACGAGGATGTCATTGGGCCCGACCGACCCACGGCGCGGAATCTTGATGTGCTCGGGCTCCGTGTACACCATTTGCGTGTCCGTGATGTCAGACTGGGCGCGCGCCGCAGACGGCTTGCGCGGGGCCTTGGGCGGCTTGGCGGTCATCGACTTGCGCTGCTTCATAGCATACAGCGCCGCGGCGACGAGGCAGCCAAGCACGGCGACTTGGAAAACATGACGGCTCTGGGCACCCATCGATCGCGTTGGTGGCTCAAGATACAATGGGCAATAAACCAATCGTCGCCGTTTTAACCGGACCGTGAACGACTGGAACAAATAGGTTTGCCCAAAGCGAGGGCGCGGGCGCGTTGCATACTTACACCAAGTGCAATGTCACCCCTCGCGAGACGGCAAATTGGCCCGACGCGCCACGACCAGCATCCATGATTGCATCACGTGATGCACCTTTTGGTTGTACGCATTTGGATTAGCCAGGATGCAAGATACGCGGAGCATATGTTTTGTATACTATAATACAAACAAGTGTAAGAAAGGCCAGACTCGTCGCCGCGACATATAAAAGCGATTGGATTCGTGGGCAACGCGACATTACGTTTAGAGGACGTGATGTAGCTCGTCGCGCGAATAGAAAGGACATCCTTGACCCGTTGAAGCGTGGCGTGGGGCAAACTGTATCCTCGCGCAGCGAGCCATGCACGCAGTGTCTCGACACGTTTGTGAGCGGCCTCGTCGAGATACCAACGTGCAGAATTATGTCGTTTCCTATCCAATAGCAGTGGCAGGCTTTGGCCGTTACCTCGCCATGATGTCCCAAGTGTTGCCGTCGATGGTGTACCTGCACGCCTTGACGCCGGCTTAGTGCACCTTGAAGTCGGTAGCGACGTCGCTCATTTATGCTGCGTGGCTATGTTGATGCGCATCTGGGAGTGCGGACCGCACGCGAAAGGTAGCGCGTCGAGACGATGTACGACGTACACGTGTATCGTCGTGTGCTGCTTTACAGTGCTGTGTTTGTTGGCTGCAGTGCTAGCTGCCGTGGTGGCTGCTCGAAGCATGGGACGTATTAGTACCTACTCAATCAACGCTGTTATCTTGAAGCTGATACTCCCAAGAAACCTGGTTCGGCTACCTTTTCTGGATCCAAGGGACTGTCTGGAAATAGGGAAGAGTTGACAAAGAAGAGGCTTCGTCGCGATCACCCCCAACGGCACAGGGGTGTACACCGGTGTATGTGTACATAATCGTCCACATACGACAATAATGTCCCCTATTGTCATGTATTTTGGTCGTCTTAACTCAAGGGACGAGAACAATTCCTTGTCTTAAATAGTCTGCTTGTACCGAAAGCGCTTACACTTGCACGACGCCATCGTCGTCGATTCTCGTTGCAAGCGCGCCCAAGACCCGGCGAAAGTGCTCGGCAAAGAACCGCCGCTGGGCGTGGTGGCTGTTGAGGAAGCGTTCTTTTAGCACGGAGAGCAGCGACGCCTCGGTCGAGCCGCCAAGGCCGACACAGCGCGCGAGTTCGTCGAGCGAGACGTACCCGCCGTTGTGCGTGCACGGGTGCTCAAGCGTGTAGAACGTTCGGCAGCGCGTGTTGCCATTCGCAAGTGCGTCCGCGACCATCCAAAACTTGGTGTTGAACGCCCACGCGTCGTCGGCGTTGTCGTCGAGGAACATGTCATCTCTCAGAATCGAGCGGAGTACGAACGTGACCGATCCCGGGGACTGGAAGCGGGCTTGGAGCGACTTGTTGAAGATACGCTGCGTCGGCGTCCCGAGGTTCTCACGCACGTACAAAATGTCCTTCGTCGGCGCCGAGAGGTCGGTGAGCTGCGTCGATTTGTCTCGGAACGCAGCCGCAAACGACTTTTCAGCCACCCAAAACGCATCGTGAACAGCATCGAGGCTATACGGCACGACCTGCTGCGCCGCCACTTGCACAAAAACCGGTCCTCGTCGTCCAAGTCGACGGCTACATCCACAAAGTCGTCGGTGTCGTTGGCTGGAAAGGCAATCTGGGCCATGGCCGCGGTCGTGTTGTGGTACGCCTGGCGCGCAATCCACTCGTACCCGATCGCTCGCGCAGTGTCGTCACCGCACACGAGCTGCGAGTGGCGCCACGTCTCGAGCTGCGGTGGCTGCGCAAGTGCAATCTCATGAGTACGAGTCATATCGAGTCGGGACACACTACCTGCAGTGCGGGTGGCGGCGTTGCCTCCATCCACGCCTTGAGGAAGACGCCGAGGCGCTTGTTGTGCGCAAGTTGCATCTTGAGCGACCGGTTGTCGCGGACTTGGTCCAGCGTGTCGTCCTTGAGCGCATGGGCCACATCCTCCCACGACAGCTGCGTCGAGTGGCAGCGCTTGAGCTTCTCAATGTGGCCTTGAAGGATGTACACTTGGCGGCGAAGACACTCGAGTTCTTTGACGCGCTTCGATTTGATGTGCGCGAGGCTCGGGAGCGACGATGGGAGTACGTCAAGGTCGGACGGTTTGAGCGAAGCAAGCATCGTTGGTGGGGCCTTTGCACAAATTTCATTTCACGTGGACGACGACGGGATTGCAAATCGAGGAATGATGGATAGGCATTACGAAAGGTACACGCCGATAGTATCGCGCAACCATGTGGCGATTGGTCAAATCTGGTGCTTGAGGCTGTGTGATGCATGAAATTTACGGTATTTTCAACAAACCAACGGCATGGGATGCACAATAATGTATACCGGGCGACCGGTGGTTTGAACACAAGACGAACCCAGACACGAAAGCAATGCTATGCGAGATATACGACCCGTGCCGTTGGTACCACGTGCATTCTTCCGCGTCCTTTGCGTCTGAGCTGCGACACAACTGGCCTTGCAGCAACCCATTTGAGTTGCACCAAGTCTCGATGCAGCGAGTGGTCGTATTCGTCGCAGTGCTATTAAGTAGTACCACACATCCGCGGATGCGTCGACACGGTGGAAAAGACACTCATGGCACCCACGGCGATAGCATCGCTTGTGAAGCTGCTGGTTTGCTGTCAATCGCGCGAAGAAATATACGCAGCATACCGTAAATTACGCTAATTTCGTGTGTTTTTCAACTGGTTACCAAAAGAAAGCGGCGGCCGCCAACATCCCACAGTTTATGACGATGTTGATGCTGCGCCCGGCAGCTGGTGTCACTTGACACGGACACGAGGCCTGTCCGCACCGAGAATGACGCTCCACGTTCAACCGCGCGTGATCGTGCAGGCAGTTGCCTGCGTACATCGCACAGCGTGGCTGGACAAGGTATCGCCTCGATCAATCGCACGATCGAGGCCGACGAGGGGCCGGTTGATTGCTCCGCGGCCCATGACGTGGCAGAAGATTTGCATACTGTACGTTTCCGTAGATGACTCATGACCCAGTGGTAAGCGCGTGACTTCAACTTGGCGCCCGCCCACGTGGCCATTCCAAACGAGAAACGGCAGCACGTGGCCGTCAACGTATCCTTGGCCTCTTCAACCTCCGTTTGTATACGCAGACTTGTCTATTGTCGCCACGTTAGTACAACTACGCCATGTCCTTGCCGCCTCTACAGGGGGTGGAACACCGCGGTTGGCCATCGCACGGTGCTCGCGCAATGCTATCTCTCCGACTCGAACGGTTTTGCCGACCTATCGCTGCTCGCCTTTCTTTGGTCCAAAAGGCCCCTCTGTAGAAATTGTCGGTTTGCTAGCCATGTCCGACCTGTCCCCGAGTGCTAACCACTTTCTCACTTTCTCGCATCAAGTATTTAGCAGTGCTAACTACTTGATGCGAGAAAGTTGCAACGCAATTCGTGCCTAAAAAAGCTGGAGCTATGTGCACTGGCATGCGGACGTCGGCAGCTGCTCGACTCTTGGCCTACACTGCACTCTGCGGTGCGACGTGCCTTACAGCAATTGTGGACTAAGAAACGGCCGTCGATGCACACTTGCATTGCGTCTGCGAAGGGATTGTTTTGATTGATAGGATGGGACGGATGCTCGGAAGGGATGTGTTGCAAGCGGTTGGCGACATGAGCCGGAGCAAGCATCGCGCGAGCAATTACGCGCTTTTTTTCTGCATCCACGAGGTGTCGAGAGACGATGAGTGTCCCCCGTGTGCTACCGGTACCTCCATGGCATTCATCTTTTAGGATTCCATCGACCCAAATCGTCAGGACAAGCCTCTCGAACATATTGCCCGATGCTGTCTTGATTACCAGAATACTCTTATGTAGCAGTGCTTCTGCTGCTGCTGCAGCAACAGCGCGCCAAGCCACGGAACAAAGCCATCGCATCAGGCCAGGGCCAAGTACATGCAGTGGCAGGCACGTGCAATACCGTCCGAAAGACCATCGATTGAGCTCGAAACAGGATTTTTCAACAAAGACTCTGTTTTGGGCCAAATGCAACCAGCGCGTGAAACGACACAGCGCGATTTGTGCCGAGACTTGCAGTGAACGAACGCGAGTCGAGCAGGTCGGGACAACGAATTTGTGATTACGTGTGGAAAGCGTGATTGAGTGTGGAAAGCGTGTTTGGCTAGTTAACGCCGAGAGCAGACACGCCGACTTTGCTGGCGTGGTGCTGCACACGTGTGTCTGACAGTGTCATCTTCGAGTCGCTACAGCGTGTTGGCATCTGACAACAGCGATTTGTGGACGTACAATGCTAGAGACCATCGATTGCCCTTGTAACAGGATTGTTAAACATACACTGCTTTGGCTACCATGCGCGCAGCCAGGACGACGTTGGATTCAACGCCCAAAACAAGTCTTCAAAGGTATTCTCTGCTGCGATTGTTCGAGTGATTGACGCAAGAAAAGGACATCGACACACAGTAACGCGCTAGAAATAAGTTAAAATGACCAATAAGGCTCGCTAGATCGCGTCGCTCATCAAAGCCGACCACTCATCAAACCCTTCGGCCGGCGGGCGGCGTGCAGCTAGCGTGTCGGCCACACAGCGTGCGTGCATTTGAAAAAAGCTGCGCTGGAGGTGATGCGTCTCGTGAAACCACGCGCGCAGCCGCTGCAGAATGGCCGCGTCGTCATCATGGCAGGGCAGACCGCGGTGACGCGCCAAGTCCGACACTGGGACATACCCCGTGTCGTCCGAGAACGGGTGGTCAATCGTATAGAAGGTCCGGCAGCGCGTCAGCTGCGGCCCGAGCCGGTCAATGACGACCCTACGTCACCATTGATACGTGAGCTTTGCGTGCCCAGTCTTGTTGGTCTGACCATTGTTTGGTGTTCATAACCCACGTGGAGCTCGACACGGGGTTGGCTTCGTCCTTGAGAATCGTCCGCAGCGCCAGAACGTACCGATCCCCGGCAGCGAAGAAGCGGCTGAGCGTGTTGTAGCTGAGCGTGCAGCTGTGTAGGCGCTGGACCATCGACTCGTAATGAAAGTTGTCGGTCGTCAAAGTTGCTTGGGTGCTATCGAGGTACCCCGCGACCTTGCGCAAGTACGCCTTGCTAAAGCTCTCGGCCGCGAGGCTGTACGCCTCCGAGACGTGCTCGAGCGAGTACGGAAGGTACTCTTGCGACATGACTTCGGCGCGAATGAGGTTGTCGGCCGTGATCATAATGTTGACGTCAATGCAGTCGAGCTGCTGAATTGGGTCGTCGGGGAAATGCACATGGGCCATCGCACGCTCCGTGTTGTAATACAGCTGGTTGAGGATCCACTCGCAGCCGAGGTTGCGCGAGGCGCCTGAGAGGAGCTGCGAGTGACGCCACGTCTCCTCGGCAAGGCTCGGCACCACCTAGTGGCGCATGAGACGTCAGTCATCCAAGAGTCAGGCATACGTCGAGGGGGCTGGCGCGGGCCAGGCACTCGTGGAGAAAGCGGCAGAGTCGCTTGCGGTGCTCCATCTCTTGCTTGAGCGCGCGGTTGTCGCGGACCTTCTCGAGCATGTCTTCCTTTAGCGCGAGCGCGACGTCGTCCCAGGGCAGCATCGCGACGTGGCCGCGCTTGAGCTTGGTCACTTGCTCCTGGAGCTCGTACGTGTACCGGCGGAGGCCTTCCAGGGCTTTCGCACGCTTCGACTTGATGTGGTCGAGCCGCGGGTCCTGCGACGGCTTGATCGGGAGCTTGATGGTCATGCGCCGCTTCTTGGGCGCGGCATCGTCCGGCGTCGCGACGACCATGGGTAAATGATGACCGGTTGCACTGTCTCTCCCACGTGTATTTTTTTGTTTTGAGTTTTGAGTTTTGCATGCAATTGGATTGAAACGCCACGTCCTACATATACTAGAAAGTGCACTTTGCACTTGTGTTATTTTGAGTTTGAGCGATCGACAGGCCGGATGCATAATGTAGCGTCCCACTACCAAATGGAGCGCACCGAAATGGCAACGTGCACCGTGGTTTTGGAACCGATAACAAGCAGTCGTGTGCCCGGGGCACGCTCTCACAGTGACATGGCCCGCTCACGCTGCAAGACACCCTTAAAGTAGGTCTGAAAGCTCGTGCGCTGCCGCCGGTGGTTGGCGGCCGACCGCTCCTGCACGGCGCGCGCAAGGTCGCGGTGGTCGTGTTCCTCAAGGCCCAACGCGCTGCCAAACTCGGCCAATGTCACGAGCGTCTGCTTGGGGCCGACAATGGGGTGCTGAATGACATAGTACGTCCGGCACCGCGTCAAATGCGGCGTCAGCGCATCCGCGACCGTCCTAGGCGTCATGAGCTCTCGCCACAAAGCAAGTGCGTACCATTGCTTGGTGTCGACGACCCACGCCGTGGGTGCCGCCGGGTGCACTTCGTCGTGGAGGACGGTCCGCAAGACAAACGTCGACGTCGTCGCGTCATCAAAGCGGCCGCTGAGGACGTTATAGCAGACGCTCGAGTCGCCGTAATCGAGGGCTTCGTGCATGTATTGCATCGAGTCCGAGAGCCGCTCGATGCGCTCGTCCATCGCGTCGCCATCTTGTCCGACGAACCGGCGCGCAAACGACTGTTCGGCTAGCCAGTAGGCGTCAGCGACTTCACGCAGCGAGTAGGCCACGACGTGCTGCGTCGCCACGTGGATTTGCAGCCGGTTGTTGTCTTGGACATGCACGTGCACGTCGACGACGTTGACATTCGTGTCGTCGGGAAAGGCGAACGCACTCATGGCGCGGCGGGTATTGAAGCGCACTTGGTTGAGGATCCATTCGCAGCCAAGGGCCCGCGACGTCGGGTCGCTCGACACCAGCTGCGTGTGACGCCACGTCTCCTCGGCCACGCTCGGGACGCGCTAATAGTTCACAAACCATGATAGGAGAGAAAGAGAGAGGTACATATGTACGTCGATGCGGAGCTGCGCGCAGGCATGCACGACGTGGTAGAAGCGCGCATACGCTCGCTGGGTGCGCTGGAGCCGGCGGTTCTCACCCACGAGCCGCAGCATGTCGTCCTGCAGCGCCTTGGCGACGTCTTCCCAGGCCAGCGCCGAGCCAAGCGGGCGCCGTTGGAGCCGCTCGATCGTGCACTGCAGGTCGTAGATCTCGCGCTTAAGCGCGTCGAGCTTGAAGGTGCAGCGCGTCTCAGGGTTGCGCCGCCGCGCACGCGTGGCCACCATGATGGGCACGTGCGATTCGGTTGTCCCGGCTGGGGATCCATCGACCAACCGGTTTTGAGCAGCCCGCTTCAATTCGCACAGCCAAGTACAGGTGCCCGCGTCTGAGTTGCAATCAGAGAACGCGCGCGACGCACACAAAAGCGCCGCGGCAGAGTAGCCCACGACTTGTTGGAGTGTACTACCACGAATCAGGCTCGATGTAAAAGTACCCAGCTGGCAAACTTGTTGGATCGATGCTGTAGTGCTCGGTGGCGGGAGGAGCTCATGGGAGGAGCTGGAAGTACTCGCTGAAGTGGCTACAAGTGGTTTGGTAATCGGTGCTAGCAGATAGTAGTACCAGAACGATTGGGACTGCTCCGAATATAACTCACTCCTTTTACGACAACACGACGACAGCACGACGCCATCCCACGGAGGGTATTGTGAGTGCAGTCAACCAGTTTGTAGGTTCGAGGGCCGCACCATCATCATCATCATCAAGTGTATCCAGGTGTCGGCGGCTAGCCTTGCACACGGCAGCAGCCAAAGTACACACTCTGGTTCTGAGGAATCGGCTTCTCGTTGATGTTGTTGCGTCGTCGTGGTTGTTGCAATAACTGTAGGAGGTACCTATGCACACAGATGTAGTGGTCCTCCTAAGGCGCTCGTCGGGCAAGTCATTGCATCAACCGAGCACTGTCGTCGTCGTGAGAGTACCAGTACAGTACAGTACTCTCACGACGACCTGTAGGGCATGTAGGGTATCTTAAACACGACTGCGTACGAATGAAAGCCAAAGTGCACTTTGCACTACTCATCTGTGCGAATTCGAGCGTCACGGCAATGTGATTGGCTGATAGCGTTGGCATCTCCGCTCTACAATCCACACGAGACCCGCCACGCTTCTTCTGCTACACGCGCAACCAGCGTTGATAAAAGGGGTCTTCAAACAAAATAAAATCGACGTGAAGTCGACGCAAACGATTACACATCGGCGCCCTCGCGCAGGAGCTGCAGCTGGCATAGCACGGCAGCATAGTGCCGCATAAAGAACGCACGCTGGTCGTAATGACCCGTCGTGAGCTTGGCGGTGAGCTGCGCGCAAAGCTCCTTGTCGGTTGCCGCCTCCACATTGTAGACAGCGGCGAGGTCGCGCAGGGCCACGTCGCCTTGGGATGTGAACGGGTGTCGGATTGTGTAGAACGTCCGGCAACGCGTCAGCGACGGGCCGACACGGTCGGCCACGATCCTAAAAGGCCAAAAGTCATCATCCTACCTCGGAAGATGAGTCTTACCACTGCTTGGTGTCAATGGTCCATTTTTGGCGCCCATCCTCGATAGTCTCGTCTCTTGGGCAGTTGGCCTCGTCGTGCAGGATCGTCCGCAGCGCAATCGTCATCCGGTCGTGTTCCCGGAATCGGCCGCTGAGCACGTTGTACCGCACGACGTGCTGGCCGGAGTACGGGATCTCCTCTGGAAGGTACTGAATGTCTTGGTGCTCGGTTTGTAAAAACGTGTGCAGATCGAGGAGGAAATTCGTCGTCCTCTCACGGTACGCGGAAGCAAACGTCTTCTCGGCGACCCAGTAGCCGGCGGCCACGTCATCGAGGCTAAATGGCATGAACTCTTGCGTCATGACTTGGATGCTCAGAAGCGGGCACATGGGGTTGTCGCCAAAGGTCACGCGCACGTCGAGGCAGTTGCTGGCGTCGGCTGGAAAGGCCACGTGCGCGAGGGCGCGGTCTGTGTTGTGGTAGACTTGCCGCAGAATCCACTCGTACGCCACTTGGCGCGAGGCGTCGTCGCCCGCGAGCAGCTGCGAGTGGCGCCACGTTTCCTCGACTAGGCTGGGCACGCGCTAATCGTGGATGGATGGATGATTCGAGCAAGCAGTTGGCGTGTACGTACCTCGTTGGGCCGCACGACGCGCGCCATCCAGTCTTGGAGAGTCGCCAGTAGCGTCTTGGCATGGGCCACTTGGCGCTTCAGCGATCGGTTCTCACGGACTTGCTCGAGCGTGTCGTCTTGGAGTGCCTTGGCCACGTCGTGCCACGACAGCGGCGCGCTGTGCCCGGGCCGCTTTGGGATCGCCTCGAGCTCCTGCGTCAGATCGTAAATGTAGTTGCGCAGGGACTGCATCTGCCGCGCACGCTTGGACCGGATGTGCGCCAGCCGCGGGTCCTTGGACGGCCGCAGGCGTGGCGGCGCGCCCTTCGTCTTGGCGACGGCGTCGAGCATTAGTACGCTGGCGGCGCTCGGGTGTGCAATGCGTCTGTGTCAAGAAGGTCGGAATTGCGGGCAATTGGGTTCAAAATACCGGCATTGCTAGGCCAATATTTTAAAAAAATCAAAATATCATGCTGGCTACTCGTTTGAGCGCTGGTAAACATCTTGATTTTAGTATCGAGACGCATTCGGGCACATTTCCGTTTTTTTCTTGAAATACCGGTATTCTTGACTCCACATGGCGCGGAACGGGGCAACTCCCTCAAAACCACGTGGCGTCGTGCGGTGCATATCTGGATACCACTCCATGGGGACGTTTACTGGATACTGGATTTGGCGCGCTCCGATCGCAGCCAGCAGCCACCTGAAGATGCTGCATTTATCGAGTACACTGTGTCTAGCATGTCAAGCTGTAGCTGGCTTCTACTATCGATCCCACACTGGCGTGGGCCATCGACGCGCATGACACGCCCGCGGCAGCTGCCAGCTCGCATTGGCGACGCGCAAGGAGGTAGCCGGCTGCTATTGCATGGCGACAGGCTGCCACCCGCGTCCCTTCAATCCGGGCATCATCTGATCGGCTCGGTATTTCAAGAGGTTACCGATGGTACCACCGGGTAGCCACTCTTTTTCTTCTGGGTTGCACCCACGCGTTGCAATCGCCGCGATCACGTTGGAGTCATCGGGCTCTAATCACTCGACCCTTTGTCCTTCCCGCCTCCAGGTTGACTCGACGGCTACTTGTAGGCTGTGCTAGAACTGTGTCGTGGCGTCGTTTTTAAGCGCAAACTCGTTGGTCTAAAATATGCATAGGGCACGTTACTACTACAGTGGCTAGCCGAGCGGGGAGGCACCCGAGTGATGCTCGTTTGTCGGTGCGATTAATGCCAGTATTTCTTCAAAGCGTCGTTTGAAGAAGACGCGCTGGTTGACATGCGACTGCTCGTACCGCGCTCGCACGCCGGCGGCAATGACCTTGGTATCGTCGCTCTGAATGTTGTAACAGGCGGCGAGCTCGCGGAGCGAGACGTACCCGCCGCCTTCGGTGAACGGGTGGTCGATCGTGTAAAACGTGCGGCAGCGCGTGGTCGTCGGGCCGATGCGGTCTGCGACCCACCACTGCTTGGTGTTGAGCACCCACGTGTTGCGCTCGAGCGGGAAGAGCTCGTCCTTTAGCACCGTCCGGAGCGCGACGACCGTTCGATTTGGCTCGCAAAACTGGCCGCGCACGACGTTGTAGCGCGTCTTGTGGTGCTGCGAGCTCGAGTCTTCCTGCACGAGCTGCACGTCCGACGCATCCGATGGCACGAAAAGGTCTTCAATCGCGCCTTGGCGGCGGTACGCCTTGACGAACGACCGCTCCGTGCGCTCGAGTGCGTTTGTCACAACCTCGAGCGGGTACTCGAACACGTCTTGCGCGGTCGCCGTCATGCAAAAGTGCTGCGACTCGTCCCAGCGCACGTGCACGTCCATGGAGCTCGTGAGCGTGTGCGGGTAGGCAATGTGGGCCATCGCGCGCATCGTGTTGTGGTACACCTGCTGTAGGATCCACGAGGACCCGATGCGGCGGCAAGCGGCGTCGCCCGCCATGAGCTGCCCATGGCGCCACGTCTCTTCAATCTGGCTCGGCAGCCGCTAAAGTGCAAGGTGAAAAACGGCCATCTCGCAGAAAGCCCGGGTAATACCGTCGGCGGGTGCAGACTTTGAATCCAGCTCTGGAGGACGGTCGAGAGGTGCGCATATGCGTCGACTTGACGCTTGAGCGACCGGTTCTCGCGGACCTGCTCGAGCGTATCATCCTTGAGCGCGATGACGACGTCTTCCCACGGCAGCATCGCGAGGTGGCCGCGCTTGAGGCGCGCGACCTCGGTCTCCAAGTCGTACACGTGGTGGAGGAGCGACTGCAGCTGCTTGGTGCGCTTGGACTTGATGTGCGCGAGGCGTGGGTCCTGCGACGGCTTGATGCGGTCGAGCGGCGAGTGCTGCTCGTGGAGCTTGCGCTTCTTGGTCGTGACGGGCGTCGCCGCCGCGACGTGGAGCACCATGCCAAAGCCAAAATAAAGCGGTGGCAACTTAAAAAACCAGCTGCGACGCCAGCCAGATTTTATTGGCCAACGGGTCCAGTGCCCTTGGGCCGTGGGATTCCTGCCTCTGCGGTCACAACAACGTAAGCTGACCAGTCGTCGGTGCCCCGGCGCACCGTCGTCGTCGTTTTTCGTCATCGGCGTGTCTGCGTTCTCGACAACGTGAGGCGCCACTTGGCCTCATGACACGCCGACCGCACCGCCTCTTGCGCTGGCCGATTTGGGTCGACATCTAGGCCATCTCATCTTCCCGCGTCGCATCCTACGGTACGCCTCGTCGATATTGGTAGTATCCAGTGCCCTTGACGGTACCATCGATGAGGTGTCGATGTACATGGAGAGGAGGACAAGGATGCCTGTCCGACAGGCCCAGAGCACATGATGACGTCGACGGAGGGTGCCATGTGGTCACCGCGAAAGTAAACGCTCGTCAGCGGTCTCTCATGTCAGAGCGCGCGGCGGTGGGGTGTCGACGGCGATGCATGGTATTCTACGTGCTGCTTTGGCGACGTAGCCGGGGCAGCCATGCCCTGCTCACGCGTGAATGGATGCAAGGGAATTGTGTTCCCTTGGATGGGCGGGACGAACTTCAAAGACGCAACAATGGAGTCGAACATTTAGGTAAATTTACAAGCACGCCGAAACTCGACGTAAAATGGGGCAGACGACGATGTACACCTCGCCAAACGATTTCTCCGTGCCTTCATTTTTTGTTGCGCTTTGTGACGACAGAGATACGCAGAGAAACGTGTCAACTTATTTTGCGGTGTGAGTACAGTGTACTGTGCGACGACATGTGGTTGCTCGTCTCCACGACGTCGATACAGCCGTCGTCGTGCTCGCCAAAGGCAGGATGTCCGCCACCACGGTGCATGCACCTTGGCCGCACCGCACCGTAGCGCGTCCGTCGACCGAGAAAACGCGATAACGTCCGATGCATCCCGCTGTTGTTGCCACGGTGGTGCAAGCTGGAGCTGCTGGTGGGGCACGTACTTTCAGCGCAAGGAATTTATTCCCTTGTTTGAGCGAGCCAGAGCCTGTCGTTCTCTGTGTAGACGGCAACGAAACGGTCGCCGTGGGTGGATAACTCATTCGCTTCGTATTGTCGACGACGTCTGGTGCCACAACTGTTCAGTGAGCAGCACAGACCAGCATCGACGGTCGTCGTCGTGGTGCTGACCATAGTCCCGACGCCACGCTAGCGTGCCGACCTCGAACCAACCACCGTCGTCGTCCATTCCAATGACAGAGATATATATATCAACGTGTTCCGCGTTATCTTCCTCACATAGACTTCGCATACGTAGTCTGAATGCGTGGGAGTTGGCACCAGCAGAGATATTTGTATCGGTATCTTGGTCTGTCCTGCGCAGTCTCTGTCGGTTGGCGAGTGCTTGTACTATAATCCTGGTAGTGATCACCAGGTCGTACTACACCCAGTAGGAGCTCGACACAACACACATACATGTAATATATGACAGGATCAACAACCATTCGACGACTATTAGGGAGCGTGGGGTGTCGTGGCGAGCCGGCGCAGAATCCCATCCAAGTGCGCTCGAAAAAACGCTCGCTGGCTGAGCTGGTACCTGCGATTCGTGTCGCGGAGGCGGTGGAGCCCGTCAGGTTGGCGCAAATCGATGTTGAAGCGCGCGCCGAGCTGCTGGAGGGGCATCCGCGTCGCGCCGCGCCATGGCGAGTCGGCAAAGTAGTACGTTCGGCACCGCGTGGTCGTCGCATCGATCGCATCCAGGACGGTCCTACACAAGCCGCGCCACACCGCGTGAAGCACCATTCCTTCCTGTCTTTATTCTACCATTGGAACACGGGACAGCGCCACGTGCGCGGTGCAATTGGGTGCGCGTCGTCGTGCCCGATGGTTCGCAGCACGAGGATGGTCCGGGTCGCGCTCACATTCAGGCGCCCCAAGAGCACCGTGTCGGCGACGACGGACTCCCGCGACAGCGCCATTGCCTCGTGCGTGTAGGCGACGTCTTGCCCGCGGACGCAGAGGTCGCGCGTGACATGCTGGCGGTTGGTGTCGGCGGCGCAATAGACGGCAGGAAACGATCGCTCGGCCTCCCAGACTCCGGCGGTCGCAATCGGCAGCGCATACGGCAGCAGCGACTGTGTCGTGACATGGACTGCAAATGCATTCGGGTCGTCGGTGTCGCCAAGCGAATAGCCAATGTCGACAAGCTCGGCCGTCGGGTCGAGCGGGTAGACGTGCGTGCCCATGACGGCCATCGTGTGCTCGTACTGCTGGCGAATGAGCCACGCCAGCGCCATCTCGCGTGACGCCGTGGTGCCGCGAAGCAGATACGTCGCGCCATGCGGCTATGCAGAGTACGTCCCATGAGATGACACATCCGAGCTCGTACAGATCGATAGAGTACGTTGTCGGACGCCGCGCGGAGGTTGCGGTGGACCCATGTGTGCATTTGCGCGAGGAGCTGGCGCTGGTCGTCGACGCGCTGCTTGAGCGCCCGGTGGTCGGCAACCAGCGCCAAGAAATCGTTTTTGAGCGCGACCGCCACGTCTTCCCACGGCAGCTGTGTCGTTTGGCCACGCCGCGCTGCTCGCAGCGTGCACTCGAGGTCATAGACTTGGCGCTGGAGCTGGCGAATGGCCCGCTTGCGCTCACCCGACATGATGTGGGTGCGACTATGGCTAATCACTTGTGAACCATCATCCAAATACCATGTACTACCGGTACACACGCAAGTGTTGACGTGCCCGATGACGCCGCGAGACTGAGACGAGGCGGGTCCCACCACGCGTAAAGACAGAGTCGTCGGACGAAGCACCGATCGTCACGACCCCTCGCGTTGCTGGACCAGGTCGTACGACGGAGCCTCGCGTAGACGTGCATGACGGACAGGATCCCACGGGGCACAAAACGAGCCAATCTAGTAATCTCTTTGTATCTTGGACACTCGTATCTTGGACAATTATTATTGCCGTCGTCGTGTTGTGGAAAGTACGACAATATTCCGGTGCAATGCGAACCAGTTAGCGACCGGAGTGCGATAGTCCAACGCAAATGCGATGCCGAGAACGGTCGAGACTGTCATGCCGGTCGTCGACGGTGTCAAGAAGGCGGACCACTACCTTTTGTCGAGACGGGCTCTGCTTCACATGCTGGAGGTGCTGGGTTCGAGCCCCGTTGCGTTGTCCCTTTCTTCTCTTTTCCATTGGCGTTGGGATCGGACATCATCAAGGGACGTCTTGGCAGGAGTAGGCACGTTTGGAGGGAGTGCCCTTGATTCCTCAATTCCCAGCGTCACCACCTTGTCCAGGCGACGACGTGCACGCAGACGACGTACTCCTGTGATGTCGTCGCTTTGCCCGAGCGCGGTGCCAGCAGTCGTTTCGACGAGGAGGACTCTTTCCAAAGCAACTAGTCCACGCATCGATCCTCGCTGCAGCATCGTGTTTTGCATGCACGCGGTAAGAGGATTGTTGGCCGGTTGCCGGACGATGACGTGGCGCGACGACGGTGCGATTACGGTCGTGTAAACCCTGGGAGCGGGTTCGATCCACTCGATATATGCGACGACGTTTCCGCGAATTAAAATTTTACATGTCACGACGACGACGACCTCCTCGCGTTTGCCAGAATGCGATGCACGTGGTCGTGGAAGAAGGCGCGCTGGTGCGTGTGCAGCTCGTGAAAGAAC